TGAAATGCAAGGTCTCGTTTTATTAGGGTAATGCTTGATTGATAAACGTAGTTTCCAGAGATGAATCTCGCTGCCCTATTCTGGACGGCTTCCAACATAGGTACCAAGTAATCTTGATATGGTGACTATGTGGATGATGCATACTCTAGCTGTGGGCGAACAAGCAGTATATAATAATGCGCGTACGTTAGAGGGAGCGTTGCGCAAGTTTCTGTGGAGATATCCGAGCGATTGAGAGGCTTTCGATATGACAGCTGCTATATGCGTAGTCCAGGATAGATCCGATGTAAGGTTTGATTGGTTTGTGGGGTTTAACGTTCCAAAACCACCATATGATTATGAGAGACGCCGTAGTGGAGGCCTCCGGAAATTTCGACCACCTGGGGTTCCTTAACGTGCACCCAAATCTGAGTACACGGGCCTACAACATTTCCGCCTCCATCGGAAATGCAGCCGCCACAGCCGGGATTTGATCCCGCGACCTGCGGGTTAGCAGCCGAGTACCTTAGCCACTAGACCACCGAGGCGGGGCATGATGTAAGGGGAACGCCTAAATATTTGTAAGATGGTGTAGCTGAAACCACGACGTTATTAATTCTACTGTTAAATGGTGAATTGGTATGCTTTCGAGTGAACCAGATTAACTTGCGTTTAGAGGCGTTAAGGGACATCTGCCAAGTTTCACACCACCGGAAGGTTAGGCCAAGGTCATTTTGGAGAGCGGAATGATCATTAAAACATTTATAGTTGCAGTAAATGGCGCAATCGTCGGCGAACAACTTAACTGTGGATGAAAGGTTATCGGGCAAATCATTATTGTATATTAGAAAAAGTAACGGACCTATACCACTGCCTTGGGGAACACTGTATGTGACGTCGCAAAGGTTAGATGAAATGCCGTTGATCACCGTAAGTTGCTCACGCGAAGAGAGGAAGCCTCGTAGCCAAGACAGGATTATGAATCAATACGGAGTGCAGCCAATTTAGAGATTAAACGACAATGAGGGACAGTATCGAATGTCTTGGCAAAATCAAGGAAGAGGCAATTGGTTTGTTCTTTAGCGTTCATATTAAAGTGATGGTCAGTCGTTAATTCGAATAGCTGGGTGTCACAAGAGGAGCTTTTTCTAAATCCATGCTGATTAGACAAGAAGTTGTTAGATACGATATATATATATATATATATATATATATATATATATATATATATATATATATATATATATATATATATATATATATATATATATATATATATATATATATGAGCTCTACTCTACATTGCTTACTTTACTTCGCCCCCGTTTTATCGGACACCATAATTTTACCAGAAAGTAAAATGTAATGAAAATATAACCACACGTTCCATTTTCGAAATGTAACTGTAGTAAATGCCTTTCGCGTTAAATGTACTTGCAATGGGAACTCGTTTCGAAATTGGGAAGGCCTTGCCGCGGTGGTCTAATTGCTAAGCTACTCGGCTGCTGACCCGCAGGTCGCGAGATCAAACCCCGGCTGCGGCGGGTGCATTTCTGATGGAGGCGGAAATGTTGTTGGCCCGTGTACTCAGATTTGGGCGCACGTTAAAGAACCCCAGGTAGTTGAAATTTCCGGAGCCCTCCACTACAGCATCTCTCATACTCATAAGGTGGTTTTGGGACGTTAAACCCAACATATCATCGAAATTGGGAAGGAATGAGGAACGGGCTTTCGTTCGTGTTTGAAAGGAATGTGTAGAACCCTGATCTAGTGGATATAGGGGAGAGCGAATCCCAGCCGCGGTGGCCGCAGTTTGGATGGAGACGAGAGTGCTTGAGGCCCACGTGCATAGATTTAGGTGCACGTTAAATAACCCCGGTTGGTCGAAATTTCAGGAGCCCTCTAGCGTCTCTAACAATTATGTCGTTGTTTTGGGCCGCTAAAACCGATCAATTATCTCTATATCTCTATCTCTATAAAACCCTTGTTGCATAATGTAAGTTATTCTCGTTTGGCGTCTCGTACACTGGGCAGATTAAACGCTCGGTTACGTCAACATCTGCGCTCTTTAGGCAGACACACCTACACGGACTCGTCAGCGCACTGCAAGGACTGCGGTGACGGTGTGCCGGCTCTTGAGGCAACGCAGATTTTGTTTGCGCGCAACCATCGAATAGCCGGGGAACTGTTAGAGGCCAGTTTGATAAATATTTAGGCTGCAATCTTTCTTAGCCACCCATAGCTGCGTTTACTGGACGCTGAACAAGCATACATTCTACGTAATTCGTGAAGGTGGTGTTAATGTTGTCCGATAACTAGTGTTAGAGCTATGATTACTGACGTCTAATCAATTCCACTCATGTAATAAATGTCTTCTTAGTTGATTGATTTGTGGGGTTTAACGTCCCAAAACCACCATGTGATTATGAGAGACGCCGTAGTGGAGGACTCCGGAAATTTCGACCACCTGGGGTTCTTTAACGTGCACCCAAATCTGAGTACACGGACCTACAACATTTCCGCCTCCATCAGAAATGCAGCCGCCACAGCCGGGATTTGATCCCGCGACCTGCGGGTCAGCAGCCGAGTACCTTAGCCACTAGACCACCATGGCGGGGCATGTCTTCTTAGTTCCCGGCGAGTTCACTGGGTTTTGTGTGTCTGATTTTCTTTGTCGAATTCGGGTGGGCAGTTCTGTACGCAAATCCTACATTCAGGTGAAGCACGCATTGCGAGATATAAAAATTGAACAATCATTTATTTATCATGTCCAGGAATCCCATAAGATATCCGTGCAGGAGCACGCAAAAATAAAAAAACATAAACAATACAGTACAGAGTTTTCAGACAAAAATTTAAAAACAGCGGGAATATACAGACAAAAGTTGCATGAGTGCGCAATGGGAAGAATAGCAAGACAATACGAGAATCATAAAATGGGAGAAAAAAATAAGTGATGATATACACAACTATGCGGAAGGCTTCCTGAAATACAGAAAATGGAAGAACTCGTACATTATCAAAACTATGTTAGGACAGTGCAAACCTGACATAAAAACAATGACAGTGCATTTACTTTGAAACACATAAAGATAATGAAAGTTGACATTATAGAGACTTTGTATTTTGTGAGGGGTAGTGTGTTGAAAGAAGTAGGCAGGTACATGAAATGGTCCATTCTTTGTGGTGAACATATGCGGAATTCGTAAGATTGTACAACTCAGAAGGGGGCAGGATATCATTCCGTAAGGAAACAACAGGTCAGCGAGATGTCGCCGGCAGTGAAGTGATGGTAATGATAATAATGTGGCAGTGTTTGAACGAGATCCGCAGTCATTTATAGCAAAACGATGGTTGTAAATGCTGGTCAATTTTTTTTTACTCGCTCAATGGCGTCACTGCCGCATTTAGCAATGCCATTTCAGATCACAGATGCATAATCAAGTTTCAGAAGGCATATTGTGGTGTACAATTTGCAGAAGGCTGTATAAGAAAACTGAATTTTCGAGAGATTCTGCAAACACAGCCGAGAGAACGAAGATATCGCATGGCAGCATGTTTGATGTGAGCAGAAAAATTTAGCATGCTATCAAAAAAGCATTAAGACCACTGAACTCTTAAACTTTACATAATGACCCAGTATTGACAAGTATGTAAATGGCACGATAGATGTTTTGCGAAATGTACTCATGAATTTGGTCTCTGAGGTACCTAGGGAAAGGTTACTGTCACACCATTAGGAGAAAGAACAACTTGAAGGCAGCAACTAACAGTCGGTAATAATATTAATAACATTATTATTATTATTATTATTATTATTATTATTATTATTATTATTATTATTATTATTATTATTATTATTATTATTATATTATTATTATTATTATTATTATTATTATTATTATTATTATTTTATTGTTCTATGTGCCGATACCATGTTATATAAGGTGACCGCGCGGTTGGGATGAAGTCCGCAAACTACTAAGAGCATATTAACTAAACCTTTCGTGCTATAGATTTCACAGGTTGAAGCGAAGGGCACATCTCTACACTAAGCCACTTTGGTTACCAGTTGCCTGCGCTTTGCATAGGTGGTCTTTTAGGTAATTAATGAGGCACCGTTATGCACGAACAGTGCAAGTGCAACAACAGGGACCACGTCCTTGTCTCTTCCTTCCTGTAGCTACTAAACAACGCAGTGCGGTGCAATGCAAGCAAACTCCTGGAGGGAAAGAAGGGGGAATATATATAACGTCGGGATTTCAACTGATCTTATTTATGTCCCATATTATTCGGTTTACGTCTCAGCTCACTCAAGATACGTGTTGCTTCCTTTGCGTTATGCACCCTAGCTTGACGCCTCACCGCAGTGGTCTAGTGTCTAAGGTACTCGGCTGCTGACCCGCAGGTCGTGGGATCGAATCCCGGCTGCATTTCCGATGGAGGCGGAATGCTGTAAGTCCATGTGCTCAGATTTGGGTGCACGTTAAAAAACCCCAGGTGGTCCAAATTTTCGAAGCCCTCCACTACAGCGTCTCTCATAGTCATATTGTGATGTTCGTACAATAAACCGTACATATAAATCAATCAACCGTAGCTTGACGACTGTACTTATCATTGATCAGCTACCATATTTATGTGTCAGCCAGCACAACTGGCGGGCAAATCGATAGGGAGACCGAAAGTAGGGTGCAATTCAGCAGACGCAACACAGTGATAGTTATAAAAGGTTAAAGAGGTCACCACCGATGCGCCAGATACGTTCTATCCCCAGTTGTCGTCGTGCGCGGACTGGTTTTTATAAACGGAAAAAGGCACCCTGACATCTTGCTCGGTGGTGCAAGTATACTCATATGTTGAGAAGCCGGTTTGTTGTTCTCGACACTCTTCTCATCCTCTCCATTAACTGAACTTGTCGTAGAGAACAGCACACTTTTTTAATTCAAGCCACTACAAAAGTATACCTATATCAGCCAGAGCCGGCGTCGGCGACAGAAAACACTTTGAACACGATGCCTCACCTTCAACGCTGGTACCTCAGTTGAAGCGTCTCTTGAAGCTGTGAGTGCTAAGTTGTCAACATAAACACATAGCGTCGACTCTAGCAGCCAAAGCACGAGCAAGCTGATACGAGCATGTCCTGGTGCGTTCGCCATGGCAGCTTCCACTTCCCGCCAGTGGCTCCGACGTTTTGTTGCCGCTGAACACGATCCCCGCCGTCTGGCAGGAAAGATTGGTTATGCAGACGGGTTATTCCTTAAGCAGATAGGAAAGACAAGTATTCGTATCACTTGCGCTTTTCTTTCGATCATTCAGTTTTCTTTTCCTTCTTTACGTTTGTGCTCGATCTTCCCCGTAACGGCCAACTTTTCGTGAACGTCACCGCATTGCGGCGGAATGAGCCGTTCATGAACAGTCGGACGCCGACAAGTGCGATGTTACTCCCTAACAACGAAACACAAGTTTCTTTTCATAAGCGCAAAGCGCTTACTTGTGGCAAGAATATCACTTGCCTCTGGGCCATGCCACGCAGCGGTGGTCTAAGGTACTCGGCTGCTGACCCGCACGTCATGGCATCAAATCCCTGATGTGACGGTTGCAGTATCGATAGAGGCGAAAATGCTGTAGGTCCATGTGCTCAGATTTGGGAGCACGTTAAAGATTCCCAAGTGGTCGATAGTTCCGGAACCTTTCTCTACGATTCACATAAGAACAGTGCCAATAATGAGGGACAAGAAAAGAAGGAGACAGACAGCGGCACTAACTTACAACAATATTTATTTGCTGGAACCGCGTAATATATACTTGAGCAGTATCTGACAAATAAGAGAAATGACTAATCGAAGAAAACAGATTTCACCTAACAACCTGGTAATCATCGTGATAATGCGCCATGAACATCACGTTTGCGAAGGTTCTGAAGAAAATCTATTTCTTTTTGTGATGGAGCAATCGAAGGCCTGCTGACACATGCACTGCCCAGCCTTTCTATTTCTGCAGCCTCATAAATTTCGCGTATCATCTCGTCCTGATGACGCCAATAATGACGGTACAATGCTGGAAGTCGGGAACACAACCGCTGTCTCTGCAATGAATGCTGAAGTGGCCCGATACTGTAGAAGACCGTTGAGCGTGCTCTTTCAGCCGCTCATTTAAACACCCGCCTGTTTGACCGATGTACCTCTTGCCGCAGGACAGAGGTAGAGAGTACACCACCCCTTAGATTCACGGAATGTACTTCTTCCGATGCTTGATTTTGCAGCCTTACTGTCCCCTGGAACCAGGATTCACGGTATTGCAAATCCTAGCCAGCTTTTCTGGAGCAGAAAAAAAAAAAACAGGTCTACGGCGCACCTGCTGGCCACTTTATTGAGGTTATGGGTGACGCCGTGGATATAGGGAATAACGACAAAGTTTCGTTTGTCCCGTCCCTCATCCTTTGTACGGGTTTGAGCATTAGTCTTTGGGCTAATTCTGATTTCTCGGAGTAGACACTCGGCAACGGCGGTCAAAACGTACATCGGGAAACCAGCCTCAGTAATGTGTTCAGTTTGCTGATTAAAGCTGGACCGAATCATGTGATGGAAGGACCTTCGCCGAGCGTTTGTGTGACATGTATTAGCGATAGTGCGCTTCACCACTTTTGAATGTGCCGATCCAAAAGGAAGGATTGGCTTGTTTGCACGCGGCTCATAGGCCCAACACACGTGGGAAGGACTCAACGTTAACATGAAACCTAGGGACCTGATGGTTCCTCTGTCCGGAACTTCATGTGTTATAACAAGCGGAGGAAGGCACTTACTGAAAGTTTCCGAAATACTAGTCAAAGATGAAACTGCCGACGATGTTCCAGCGGAATACTTGAACAGTTGTGGATTCCAAGCAATTCTGAATGGCACGATCACGGCTGGCTAAAAATAAATAACTTAAAATGGGGCCAAGGCATGATTCTATGCACACCCCTTGACGTTGCAAGTAAATGCGATCATCCCACTCTACAAATGTCGATCTTAGGTAGTAGTCAAGCAGTAATCGCCATAGAGTGACGGGAAGCAAGCCGGTTAGAAGTGGCGCGACTTGCACATGAACGGAATCCCGGGGTCAGGATGGAAGAGAGGCTTGACACGCACGAGCGCTGTGCCAGGACACGCACAGCGCTCGTGTATATATATATATATATATATATAGGAAAAATAAAAATTGAGTACGACGCACGTTGGTTTTGCACGGTATATTCTGACCGACGTTTTGCCTGGTGGACCAGCTTTTGTCAAAGTAGCAAGTACATGTCAACGCGCTTGCTTATAAATACGATTCACATGGGATAATAAAGATCGGCGACGTATATCAGCGATTAGACGATTCATAGCGTGAAGTGTTCATGACGGTACAGTTAGATATCATGCAAAAACATAAATATATATACATATATAAAAATGTATAACACCAAAGAACAGAAACTACTTCGTGCACACAGCAAAACTCTGTAAGAACCGGAGATAGCCCCGCCATGGTGGTGTAGTGGCTAAGGTACTCGGCTGCTGACCCGCAGGTCGCGGGTTCAAATCCCGGCTGCGGCGGCTGCATTTCCGATGGAGGCGGAAATGTTGTAGGCCCGTGTGCTCAGATTTGGGTGCACGTTAAAGAACCCCAGGTGGTCGAAATTTCCGGAGCCCTCCACTACGGCGTCTCTCATAATCATATGGTGGTTTTGGGACGTTAAACCCCACATATCAATCAATCAATCAAGAACTGGAGATAGATAATGATAGAACAACAATGAAACATGGATATCAAAATATTAAAAACCGCGTGATATTACAGTCAGATTGCGCGTCATATACACAGCTCAGTCGTTGTGATATTAATAAGTTTTATTGCGCGTGTGCGTTAAAATAAAGTCTCGCATCCACATTCGTGATAGCGGCGGCGATTAATAACTCAAGTGTCTATAAACATTGGATACACAAATATACACAATATCAGAAGCATTAGGGACGGTATCCAACAAGCTTAACCGATCACGCTACGGGCCACGGGTTAAGGCTGATAATGCTGGGTGGTGTTATGACCGTCGTCAGTAGGCGCCGTGCTGTCGCTGAGAAGCGTAGTCGGGCAGCGTTCCCACGCCTGGTACCACAGTTCTCTTGGAACCAGCGTCCAGAGCTGACAGGGGAGTGGCGCTCTTTTAATCCTCAAACAAGTAGCCGACTGGCCGGCTGCCTATGCCCGCCAGGTATTGTCCCTGCTAGCCGGAGCATGAGACGTCGTGTCGCCACGACGCCGTAAGCCGTTCCAGAGAGGACAACAAAGACAGCATCTTCCTTGGAAGAAACCGCGGCCGCCGCCACAAATTGCCCTGCTAATTGAGCGAACAGATTGGCCGACCGTTTGATGTATGCTGTCAGGAGCTTGGGACCCTTCGACCAGCGGCACACACACGACGAGGAAGAGCCCCCCTGGCGCCACCTTGCAGTGCAGTGATCACGACTCAATATTGGATGTTCACGTGAGCCGTGCATGCTCGTACCCCTCACCTGTTGTGTGCGTGTGTGATTGGTGTTCCACTCAAGAAGGAGAACGACCCCGCAAAGTGCTGGACGTGGCTCTGAACCATGTAACAGTTCAACCACCACGTTCGTGGTTTGTGAACTCCTAACCTCATGCTGTAAATTGTTGTAAATAGTGCCATAAACCTGTTTGTTTTTCGCATCCCCATTTTGTCAGCGTTCGTTACCTCAATCCGAAGCTACACCACGCTACCACAAGAGACCGGGCAGACCGAGATCATCAACAACTGGTGGCAGCGGTGGGATCCACCACAGTGGGCACACTATAAAGCGTGCCTGTACTTTCGTTTACGCCTGATGACATGGCGTTGAATTTGTAGATGAGGTATGATTCGCGGATTTCCCGATCGTGGTGAGAAGGAAAACCCGATTCAAGTATAGTGACCCTATTTTTTTTCGAACGAGTGCCCTGGTAAGCGAATATGTTTTGAGAGCGGGAGGTTAGGTTGCGTATTGATATGCGATTTATGGTTGTTGAAGCGTATTCGGAACGTTGTTGCTGTATGGCCGATATACTGTTTTTGGCAGACGGCGCACTCCAGCATGTATATGACGTTAGAGTTGTCACAATTAAAGGGGCCGCGAATTTTAAGTGTGAAATTAGACGACGTACTAACGGCTTCCTGGGTGGTTTGCATATGTAGGCAAACCTTGCAGCGTGGTTTGTTGCAAGGTGCACAGCCAGATGTGGTGGGTTCGTTTAATTTTGACGATGTTAGCATATCGCCGAGATTCTTAGAGCGCCGGTAGACTATACGCGAGGTGGTTCGGGAAAGACATTTTTCAGATGCTCACTTTGGGTAAGGATGTTGTGGTGGCGTTTGAGTATAGAAAGAACCTTTGGCACTGATGCCGAAGAAGTTAATACGAGATTAGTGCCAGCACCTTGTTCAGGCAAACTTTTTGCGCTAAGAATGTCGGCTCTATTCAATTGGTCTGCTCGGTATATAGCGTCATCGACCAAGTCCACTGGATAGCGTCGTTTATTGAGAGCGCTTTTAAGTTGCTCGCAGTTAGATAGGAAGCCTTCGCGATCGAAACACTATCGCTTAAAACGGTGAGTCTGACTATAAGGTACACCTGTCTTACAATGTCGCACGTGACTGCTCTGAAAATGGAGAAGCTGGTTTCTATCAGTAGGTTTGCGGTATAATTTTGTGATCAATTTTTCTTCAGAAAGCGCGACGGTGACATCCAGAAAGTTAACAGAATTTGTCGAATACCTGTGCGAAAGCTTGATTGAAGGGTGGAAATTATTGAATCCATCTACAAATTTTAAGAGCTTGTCCTCCCCATGAGTCCAAATTAAGATTATATCATCTATAAACCGTCTATAAAACAAAGGCTGTAGGTCAGTGCTGGACAGATAATTATTCTCTAGAATGCCCATGAAAATGTTAGCATAAGTAGGGCCTATTCGGGTTCCCATTGACGTGCCACTGATCTGAACGTAATGACAGTTATTAAATGCAAAGTTATTGAGTTGAAGGATAAGCTTCAATAGCAATTGTAGGGTTTTTTTATTGATTGGTTTATCTAGGCAGGAATCCTCGTATGCATTAAGTACTGCAGCAATTCCATCGGCATGCAGTATGTTAGTGTAGAGTGAAGCAACATCCAGTGTTAAGTGTATTGCATTTTGGGAAATGTTAAGACTTAATATGTCTTG